GCACACCTGCCCCGCGGCCGCGGCCTCTGCTGAAGGTTCCTCAGACGCTTCCTCTTTCCTGCTGCTGAGTTCTCTGTTGCCCTCGCCTCACCCACCTGGAATAAAACCTTTCCCTGCCTTTTCTTTAGGTGACAAGGCTCTTGATGGCTATAGCAAAAAAAAGTATGTCTGCAAGTTGCTCTTCATCTTCCTCCTTGGTCATGACATCGACTTCGGACACATGGAGGCTGTGAACCTGCTGAGCTCAAACAGATACACGGAAAAGCAGATTGTGAGTACCCCGGAGGTGCTTGGGATGGTGGCGTGAGCCTGACGGTGTCGACACGTGCTGGCCTAGACGCCGCTGCCTCTCCTGCACGTCTGGCACGGGCCACATGGGTCTGGTGCAGCTGGCGATGTGTGTCAGCCCCCAGTTAGCGCCTGGGCAGACACTGGGCCCTGCTGGTGGGGGCGCTCTTCCAGAAGCAGTAATGCTGGGGGCTCTGCCGGGCGAGGCTCTTCTCTGGCTGCTCTCTGTGTGGCTGCGCTTCTCACCAGCCTGGGAATCTCCGTGTTGGTGTCCACCGGGGCTGCGGGCATCCAGGTGATCGGTGCTCCACTCTGTCCTCCTGGCCGGCCGTGGGAGCGCAGGCAGGCACCCCCTGCCCACCGTGCCACCTTGCTGTGCTGTTACGGCCAGATTCGTCCTCGGCCCCTCGCAGTCTTGTTTCTGAAGCACACGCTGAATCTGCATGCGGAGGGCTGTGCCCTCTGCCTCCCCAGCCCTCTTGCAGACCAGATGTGCGGTCCTAGGTGGCCTCCCCCTTCTGAAGCCACCTCAGGCTTCGCGGTTTTAGCTCTCTCGTCGGAATGCTATTTTTATGTGTTTTCCTCAGTGGTATAAAGTAACATTTTCCTCTATTTGTCAAAAAATTTAACTTAGGAGTTAAGATAGTCCAGATGTCTAAGGGTTTTTGTTGAGTGTTGGTCTTTATTCGACAAGAACGTATGGAGTGTCTGCTGCAGGCCAGGCGGTGTGCGGGGGGTGGGGGTCCCTCAAGGACTCAGGACCAAAAGCAGACAGGGCCCGGCCCTTTTCTGTGGGGAGTCAGGTGCTACATGGCCTCATGAGAAGGATCGCAGCTGTGGCCAGCACCCTGGACAGGACCCTGGGGAGGTGGCAGATGCGCCGAGTGAGGCTGAGGGTGGGAGGAGCGCGGTTAGCAGAGCGGGAGCACCCGGTAGAGCCCTGACGCAAGGGTGCGGAGCCGAAAGGGCAGTAAAGGGCAGTGAGAGCTGCGGGGGGGCCTTCCTTCTGGAGCCGCGGGAAGCTGCGTACGCCTTTGATCTGGGTGGTAAGTGATCATTAGCTGTGTCCTCCTAGCCGGGGAGGCCGTGACCCACGTGCATGGCTGTGGGGAGGTGGTGCTGACACAGGCCTGGGTTTAGCTTGGTGGTGGGGGTAACACGGGATACGGCAGATTCAGGAGGGGAGGCAGCAGTCAGCAGCGTTCTGGAGGTCAGTGCAGTTGAAACCAGGCTTTCAGTGAAGTTGTTCCTTCCCACCCCGACTTGAGGGGAGTGTGACGTCCGGGACACTCAGCCGCAGGGCTTACAGACGAGTGAGTGGGACTCGGGGGAGGCCCGAGGGGTCTGGTTCCCATTGCCATCTGGCTAACGGCATCCTGGGCAGGTTCGCCCCATTGCAAAGCTGTTCCATGGCAGGATCGGGAGCCCAGACATCCTGCAGTTCTGCACTAGAACTGTGCTCTGCTCGAGGTGAAGACAGCCCTCTTTGCCACGCCCTCTCCGCTGTGCATGGGGCAGGGGCTTGCTGAAGGCTCAGCGTCCAGGCTTTGTTTTGTGCCAGGTTTCTAGGCCACAGCCGGACTGATTGTCGTGAGCATTTCTGTTGTCTTGTCTTCCCTGAACACAGGGCTACCTCTTCATCTCCGTGCTGGTGAACTCCAACAGCGAGCTGATCCGCCTGATCAACAACGCCATCAAGAATGACCTGGCCAGCCGGAACCCCACCTTCATGGGCCTGGCCCTGCACTGCATCGCCAACGTGGGCAGCCGGGAGATGGCCGAGGCCTTTGCTGGGGAGGTCCCTAAAATCCTCGTAGCTGGGTGTGTATCTGGCCTGTCATGTTAATACATCAAATGTGTACCTCTTTGATCTGTACGATGTTGTACTCTCTCCCCATCTTACCTAGTGGAGATGTGATACAGCCTAAGGTTGTACCAGGAATTACAAGTTTAGATTTTAGGTGAAGTCTAGTCAGACTCATCCTCCCCAGCACCGCGGAGATTTAAAAAGAGGTCAAGGAAGAAAGCCCAGCCCTGCCCAGGCCCTGCCAACCACAGCTACGCTGAGAAAGGGCTCCGGCCTCACTGGGCACTGAGGGAATGGCGCTCTGCGTCTTGCTCTGTCACAAAAGCCTCAGCGAGGCCGGGCGCGGTGGCTCACGCCTGTAATCCTAGCATTCTGGGAAGCCAAAGCAGGTGGATCGCTCAAGGTCAGGAGTTTGAGACCAGACTGAGCAAGAGCGAGACCCCGTCTCTACCAAAAATAGAAAGGAATTAATTGGACAGCTAAAAATATATAGAAAAAATTAGCCAGGGATGGTGGCGCATGCCTCTAGTCCCCGCTACTCGGGAGGCTGAGGCAGGAGGATCGCTTGAGCCCAGGAGTTTGAGGTTGCTGTGAGCTAGACTGACGCCACGGCACCCACTCTAGCGAGACCCCGTCTCTACTAAAATTGGAAAGAAATTAATTGGACAACTAAAAATACATAGAAAAAATTAGCCGGGCACGGTGGCGCATGCCTCTAGTCCCCGCTACTCGGGAGGCTGAGGCAGGAGGATCGCTTGAGCCCAGGAGTTTGAGGTTGCTGTGAGCTAGGTGACGCCACGGCACCCACTCTAGCCCAGGCAATAGAGTGAGACTCTGTCTAAAAAAAAAAAAAAAAAAAAAAAAAGCCTCACCAATGAAGAGGCCAAGTAGCAGACTCTGGAGAGTTCTAGGCTGAGTGACCCCCCATTTGGAGAGGGGCCAGTTGGGGCTGAGCCACCAGCTCTGGAAGAGTTCAGAGCAGCCTGGGCTGTCCCGCGGCCCCACTGCCTGCCCTTCTGGGACACGTGGCCAAGTTGGACAACAGCCCACAGCCCGCGTGGCGATGTCAGAAACGTGGAGGCGTTCGGTGGAGTGGCAGGAAGCGCTGTGGCCGAGCAGAGCGGATGGTGGTGCCTTAGTCCTCCTCCCCTTGTGTTCTTGCCTGGAAGCGTCTCTGTGGACATCCGTGTGGGAGTGGTGGGCCGGTAACCCTCCCTCGTGCGTCGGCTTTCGTGGCTGCGAGCGTGGAACCAGACCGGCTACTTTGAGCCGATGTGTCTGCTGAAGGACGGCCGGGCGTCGCACAGTCCTGGGAGTGCCCGGAAGTCAGCTGGTGGTGACCACCCAGCTGTGCCCTGCACAGACCCCTGCGTGGCCTCGACTGCTCACCAGCGTGGACACCCGGTTCCTACCATGGCTGATCTGAGGATGGGGTGGGGACTGGCAGAGGGACACCCTCTTCCCCAGGGGTGTTTGCATCCAAAAGAAGTTTTCACTCAAAGTAATTTTTCTTTGCAGTAGTGTGGGGGGTCAAGGGTTTCTCAGGTTGGTTTGGCCTCACTGAGGAACACAGATGCTAAAAGCCGAGGGGTAAATGGAAAGATGCCCCCAAACCCCTCCTTCCTTCCCGCGGAGCAGCTGTTCCCTGTGATTGCGTGAAGTGCTGGTTCTTCTCCAGGTGTGTTTCGACTGCTGCTGAGAGTTTCTGGCCGGCTTGATGCTGTCCCAGCTGCTTAGCAGCTCTGGCTGGGGCAGGGAAGGGGAGGAGACGCCGCGCGTCTGTGCCCCGCACAGGCCTGCCGGACGCCGAGCAGCCGAGGAGCCTCCCCGCAGCCTCGGTTCCACCCTGCCCAGGTGCTCTCGGGGGAGCAGGGAACCTCCGGCCCCTGGGCGCTGGCTCCCTGGCCCAGAAGTCATCCCTTTTGAGATGGACCAGGGCTGTTACGCAGTGTGATTGAGGGTCTGAGTGACACTGGGAGGTGTCTGTGGCCGCTGGGAGTAGGTATAACGGGTTTTTCTCACAGCTCCCCGTTCGTTACTCTCGGGATCGCATCGGGCTTAGCACTGGTGCCCTCCACGCCGAGGTGCTCCCGGGCCTCCCACCTCTGCTCGCTTAGGGCGAAGGGAGGCCGGGGTGGGGCAGAGAGGGGGCGCGCCAGTCATTTCGGAGGCAAGAGAGGAAATCACCACAGGGATGAGGAGTTCCACAGTAGCGAGGCCCTCCGACGCTTTTCTGTTGTGGTTGTGAATTATTAAGTGAATTGTAAGACAAATGCTGTAGTTTGAACAATTAACGAGGAACATTAGTTGAATGTGGCCAGCCCACATAGCCAGTGTTGTGGGAGAAATGTCACAGTTGCTGTCCTTGGCGGTGGGACCACTGACGGCGCAACCTTCTGCGGCAGGACTCTGCCACCTGCCGCGAGCTCTGGCGTTGCCCTTCAGAGCAGACCCTTGGCGGGACAAGGGGCGTGAATGGCGTCCCAGCCTTCCTGACTGCCACGGCAGACCAACCCAGGCCCCGGACTCCTGGTGACTGTGATGTTGTCTCTGCAGCTGTCCTGCACTTGGCTCGTCGGGGCCACTCGTCTTCTGAGTGAGGCCGATTCTGTCTTTCAGAGACACCATGGACAGCGTGAAGCAGAGCGCCGCCCTGTGCTTGCTGCGCTTGTACAGGACGTCTCCCGATCTCGTTCCCATGGGTGACTGGACGTCCCGAGTGGTTCACCTCCTCAACGACCAGCACTTGGTGAGTGTTCTTGAATTCGACTCCACCCTTACCCACGGCCTTTTTGAAATAGCCCTTGTGAAAGCGACCAGTGTGATCTCGGGGTGCCGAGGAGAGGCTTGCACAGGCACTGTTGCAGCTGCGCATTTGGGACGTGAGTGCGTCGAGTGTGCAAATGCCTGTGCAGAGGGTGAGGGGTCTCCCTTCCTGGGGTGGGGTCACGACACCGTCTCTGGCTCACCCTGTGACTAGGCGTTTGCTCAGGCCCCCCTGCGTGGGCCTGGTTAAGGGCAGAGGCGCTACCTGTGTGCAGCACCGAGGCCCGTGTCTCCTGGAGACAGCCTGGCCAGGCGGACGGCTCCCACCTGGTGTCCTTGACTCCACCTGGTTCAGGGCAGTGGTGGGGAGTCCTGTGGTCCCCACCAAGGCTCCACCTGCAGCCTCGCCGGCCTCCGTGACTGCTGCATGGGCTGGGCCCGGCGGCCACCCCACCTCACAGACGAGGGGTGGAGGGTCAGGTGACTCACTCCAGGGGGCTGCATGAGGGCGTGGAGCACAGTCGCTCCCCGCGCCTGGCAGGGGCAGATGTGGGGCAGAGTGGCCGTGTCCTGCCTGGTTCCGTCGTGTCAGTGAGAGAATCAGAGTGACACAGATACTTCACCACGGAGTCGACAGGTGTGAGTGTGTTAGCCGACCACTGCGTTCTTCCCAGAAGAGAGAGCCGCCTCGAAGAGGGAATGGAAAGTGAACAGTCATCACACATGGTTTCAGGGCAGGTGTGGGAGCTGCACCAGGTGCTTTGCTGTGACCCCATGGCTGTCTGCGCTTCCCCCGCGTCCTCGCCCCGTCCCGGGGACCTGCAGGTCGTGTTGAGGGTGAGGCCGAGGGGCCGGAGGAGGAGGAGGAGGAGGAGCTGAGGATGTTGCTCTCACTGGGGGCTGTCCAGGCTCAGGCCCCTCCTGGTGAGGTCGGAGGCTTCGCGCCACCACGCGGCCCTGGAAGGCAGTTGGCCTTTCCCATCTTGCAGATGAGGGTATCGAGGCTCAGAAAGGGCAAAGAGCTTCTCGCAGACCCAGGCTCGAACCAGGAGTTCACGGAGGGCTGTCGAAGACCCAGTGCCGCAGGAAGTGCAGGGCGTGCGGCCCGAGGGCGGCAGGCGGGCCTGGTGGGCGAGGTGGTCCCGCGCTCCTGCCCAACAGAGCAGTGCAGGCTGGGCTGCTGGAGGGTCAGAACTTCCCGCTTCCCTCAGTGCTTTCTGCACATGGGACGCGAATGTCCTGTGGGATTCTGGCAGATGCAGGGGTGCTCCCTTGGCCACAGGGCTGCACCTCAGGGCCACAGGGCGCCTCTCCTTGGACGCTGTGATCCGGGACCCCAGCTACTTGGTTTGGTTTTGCATTTTGACATGTGCAGCTTTGTTTTTCCAGGTGCCTTGGTTGGCATATTCTTGGTCCTAGGTGATGGAAACACAGGCTAAAGCCGATGGGTCGAGGGGTGCCAACGCCAGACCCAGGAAGGCCCCTCTGCTGCAGACACTCGCCCAACCTCAGCTCTTCCCAGCGCCTGCTCTCGCGTCTCTCAGGCTGCTGTGCCCAGTGTGGCCGTGGCTTTCGTAGAACTCCTTCTGGCTGTGACGCTGGGGAAGGCCTGAGACTTGGCTTCTCTGGTCATAAGGCAGGAACCCCGGAAGGGTGTCAGTTGCCCACGCGTGCCTCTCAGGGAGTGGGGCAGGGAGGCGTGGGCAGGGCCAGGTGGAGGAGGCGCGGAAGTCCCGTGTGTCGAGTGTGGTGTGTTGCGCCGGGTGGCGGGGAGTGACACGGCCTGAGCTCCACGCTGGGTGCTGTGCTGGGCCAGGTGGTCCTGGGCCCTGAGGGAGGTGTCGTGTTGAGACAGGGCCCCACGCAAGTGCCTGCAGGTCGGCTGTCGGCTTGCCGCTCCGTCGATTCCACGGGCGCGTCTTCCTGGCGGAGCAGACCTCTGTCCAAGCACTCCGGAGCCCAGGTTCTGTCTGCCCTGCTGGAATCTACGTATTATAAACACGTAGTTTCTTCAGTTCTCCGTGGACATGGAAAAGCTGTCAGCACTCACTGTGCCGGCTGGGAAACGTACAAGAAGACCAGTAGACCTGTTTCTGTAATGCAGCTTTCACGTTTGCATCAGGAAGCCGAGGAGGCAGTGCACACGGCCCTCTGGGAGAGTGCTGTGTGGCGCCTGGCTTGGCCGCTTTGCCCACGCACACCGTGGCAGCCCTGCGCCCGCTCCCCAGCAGGCCCGGTTAATAAATGATTCGAGTAGACAATTCCTGAGCTAACTGCTCACAGCTTCAGAGTCAGTAAGGGTTGCTCATTTTGTCTTTTTTTTTTTTTTTTTGAGACGGAGTCTCGCTCTGTCGCCCGGGCTAGAGTGCTGTGGCGTCGGCTTAGCTCACAGCAACCTCAAACTCCTGGGCTCAAGTGATCCTCCTGCCTCAGCCTCCCGAGTAGCTGAGGCTACAGGTGCGCACCACCTCACCCAGCTAATTTTTTGTTTCCAGGTTTAGTTGCTCGGCGGATTTTTTCTATTTTTAGTAGAGACGGGTCTTGCTCTTGCTCAGGCTGATCTCGAACTCCTGACCTGAGGTGATCCTCCTGCCTCAGCCTCCCAGAGTGCTGGGATTACAGGCTTGAGCCACCGCACCCGGCCTGTGTTTTTGTTAATATTTGTGAGAGAACTTTTTAAAATTTATTTTTCCCAGAATGAGGAAGCGAGCCCAAAACTTCTCCACTTAACCCAGGTCTTTCAAGGGGTATGAGTTACTGTGAATGACGAGTTTGTCTCGGGACCCTAGCAGGCTCCTCCGTGCTTCCTGGAAGGTGACGGTGGCCCTGGGATCGGAATCTGTTCCCGCGAGGCCAGGCGGAGTGCGGGGAAGGGCGGGTGCCTGTGGCTCTCGTCCAGCCTGTGGTGGGCCAGGGACGGAGTGGCGGAGACACGGCTATGGCTTTTCCAAAAGGAGAACAGACCTTTCAGTAGCTGTTTCCTGTAGCTACCTCTGGTTGTGGGAGTCGGCTGGGTTTGGAGGAATTATAACCATGCTGCCTCCCTTTACAGTTAGTTGGGAGAATTTAAGTCAGAGGTGCAGGTGACGAGACCTGAGGGGCAGTAGCGCAGGTGGAGGGTGCAGCCCGAGCTGCCCCCAGTGCCCCCGCCGCCCCTGCCTTCGCTGTGGCTGAGCACGGCTAGATTTCCAGGTTTTCAGAGAGGACCTGTCTTGGAAAGCAGCATGGAGCCGTCAGAGTGGGTTTGACGGCTGAGGGCTGAGGTGGCCTGTGGGCCGCCAGTTTGTTGCTCTTAAAGTTTTATTTGGAAAACGTGTTTAAGATGAGTGGTCCCCCAACTTCAAGTATTTTGACTGGAATCCAAGGGTCTGTTGTACATGTGTGTTCTTCCTCCAGGGTGTGGTAACTGCCGCCACGAGTCTGATCACCACACTGGCACAGAAGAACCCGGAAGAGTTCAAAACGTCTGTTTCCTTGGCTGTCTCTAGATTAAGCAGAGTAAGTGCTTATGGGAGGGCAGAAGTCAGTGTGGGTTTTTGTCCTAGTGATTTAATTTGTATATTAGTTTACTTTTGGAATGCAAGGTATTTGGCCCAGTTCAAAATCCAAGAATGGAAACCGTCCTCGTTAGTGCCTGGCTTTTCTTCCGACCTTTTTGGTTGTTGAGGACACCGTCTGCAGGACAGTGAGCGAGTCCTCAGCCTCCACGTGGGTGGAGGGCGGGGCTGCCACTGCCCAGAAGCCCTGAGTTCCCCTCTGAGGGGAGCTCCGCTCCTGACTTCGTGTGGTGCCACTCCTTGCTTTCCTTTATAATTTCACCACCTGAGACTTCGTCCGGTACCTTGTTGTTTAACTTTGTGTTTTGAGTTCCTGTAAATGGATCCTACAGCATGTATTCTTTTGTATTTGACTTGTTTTGCTCAACGTTGTTTGTGAGTATCTTGTAGTTGTTTTATGTAGCTTCTGTTCGGTTAGTTTTGATGCTGCATAGACTTCAACTGTGTGAATGTGTACTTTATCCACTGTCCCGTCGAACATGTAGTTCCCTTCCACTTTGGAGCTCTTGTGAATGGTCTAGTGTGCGGCCGTGGTGTCTCCTGGTGTCCACGCACGAGAAGTGCTGGTGGGTGTCCACATAGGCGTGGCCCGGCTGGGCCATGGGTGGTTCTTCTTCAACCTGAGGCGCCCCACCTGCGTGTGCGTGGTCACCTGTTCGGCACCAGCCATCACTTACTGCTGTTCTCTGGGGTTTTAACCCCTCTGGCTGTATGGCGTTGGGATTTTTTTTTTATTTGGAGCTAGGGTCTCTCTCTCTCTCTCTGTTGCCCAGGCTGGAGTGCGGTGGCATCATCACATCTCACAGCAGGCGCAAACTCCTGGGCTCCAGCATCCTCCTGCCTCAGCCTCCC